ATATATGAATATATATATATATATATATATATATATATATATATATATATATATATATATATATATATATATATATATAGATATATAAATATATATATATATATATATATATATATATATATATATATATATATATATATATATATATATATATGAATATACAGTACTGGAAAAATTATTATGGATTTTTAAAATACATCGTTATTTCGGACTTAAGGCATTACTAAAACACAATTTGTTCATTAGTTCATAACCAAAAATGATTTATTTACACGTATTACACATTTTTATACATTTTAATACTTTGTTTGGCCACCTTTCGCAAGAATTAAAGCTTTTACACGATGTGGCATGCTCTCAATCAAACTTTTACACAAAAATTTAATTTTTGTAGAGTGAAACCACACGTGTATTAACCTTTCTATCAGTTGGCTTTTTGTTGTTATGGGTATTTGGTGGATTTCATTTTTTAGTATATCCCATAGATTCTCTATGGGATTCATGTCGGGCGAGTTTCCTGGCCAAGGAAGAACCTGGACAGCATTTTGTTGGAACCAAGTCATAACTTTTTTGGATTTGTGGCAAGGTGCAGAGTCTTGCTGGAAAATCCAGAAGTCTGACCCATACCATTCCCTAATTTGTGGCACTAGTCGAGATTCTAGCACCTTAATGTACTTGTCCTGGTTCATTGTGCCATCCACGATGTACAATCGACTGGTTCCATGGACCGAAAATGCCCCCCATACCATTATTTTTTGAGGAAATTTCACAGTCTTCTTCAAACATTCTGGCAAAAATTCTTCCCCGGGTCGTCGACGTACGGTTTGGACCCTATCATCCAAAATTGCGATAGTCGACTCATCAGAAAACACAACCTGAAACAAAATTAACTGCTAGAGAAAGTAGAGAGAGAGTGCCTTACCTCTAAGTTAAAATTTGAAAATTATTGTTTATTAAATACGTATTATTATAATGTTACAAGACCCCATCACAACTAAAATAATTAATAAAGACAAAAGTAATTTAACTGATTATCATTCCTAAATGTATTTAAGATTAAAAAAACCATTTTTACCTTTTGCCAATCATCATAAGTCCAAGATTCATGCTGCTTTGCCCAATCGTATCTTGCTTTTTTCATATTTTCTGTAAGGCGTGGCTTTTTTCTTGGACGATATGCTTTCAATCCGAACTCTAACAATCGATTGTTTACCGTTTTTCTGCTCACAGAGATTCCTTCTTCCCCTAACATACTTGAAATCTTCGAACATGTTGCTCTTCTATCCTTAAGTGCCATATTTTGGATTTTTCTATCGGTTCTTGGTGTGGTTATTTTTTTCCTCCCACAGTTTCCTTGTCGTTGAGAGCCCACATCAATCCCTCTCTCAAGTTTTTTCTTAATCAGACTAACAATTTGTGTCGATATATTTAATTTCCTAGCGATTTCTTTTTGTTTAAGTTCAGAATCTTCTAGTAAAACTTTAATTTGTCCAATTTTACGAGGACTTAAATCACTATTTTTACCCATGACTTTATATACAAAACTAAATGAAATAAAAAAAAATTAAGTAACTTTTTTGGTTTAGATAATATTAAAAAAACTTAAAACTTCAATAAAATGTTATAAAAACTTTAATTCTCAGCGACGACAAGCCCTCGTGACGGAACGCAGCGAACTAACATAAATGTGCATAATATGCATAATTATGACACAACACATAAAAAT